TGTCACTGCATTAGACACTGGAACGTGAGGGCTGTGGGTCATAGCAGTTAGCCAACCTTGAGTGATACATTTAGTATTCCTACACTTCAGAGACTTGAATTTAGACATAGGAGTTTGATTCCCGATAGCAATATATAAATTTGTCATTTATTATTTTAAAATGTTATTGTTTGGAATCTGGATCTAAAAGGAAAGTGTCTAAGAATTTATTATAATCCTTCATTTTACATATTAGAATCTGGGGCCCTGAGAAGTGATAGTCCCAAGCCAGCGCTGGCGTGTGACCCAAAGCTGATCCATACCAGGCTCTCAGTGTTGGTTATGTGGATGAACGCCTCCCACTCAAGTGGGCCACTGGCTGTCCCATGCTCTGTGATTTTCTAAATTGCACAGTGTCATACGCTGAATGTGTCCCCCACAAAAAAGTTGAAGTCCTAGGCCTCAGTATGTCACAACGTGACCTTCTTTGGAAATCAGGTCACTGTAGATGTAGTTAAGACGCAGTTACTGGGGTGGGCCCTATTCCAACGACTGGTGTCCTTATAAAAAGGAGAAATTTGGACACGGAGACAGACTCCATAGAGAGAAAGCCATAGGAAAACACACAGGGAGAAGACGACCATCTCAAAGCCCTGAGAAGGAACCAGCCCTGCCAGTACTGTGATTTTGGACTTCACGCCTCAAGAACTATGTGTAAATTTCCGTGGAGTCACCCAGTTTCTGGGGCCTTGTTGTGGTAGCCAGTATTAGCAAACTAATACTTGGAGTTTTTTTCCGAAAACATTTCCCGAAACTTCCTGGAGGATAGCCAGTGTCCTGTCTTGCCTGCCGGAGGTTTCGACAGCCATGGCAGCCGCCCTCATGAGACAGGAAGAGCCAGCGCTCCTGGTTCTCACCTGCCCTCTGCCCCCTTGTGCAATCCTGACACCCTCAGTTCCCCTTTCCACCTGCTTCCTTCCCTTCCTTTGAAGTGCCCAAGGTGCTGACGTTTAAAAGTTCACAAGCGTCCAGTAAAACTTCTCAAGTACCAAAACAAGGTTTCAGACTTCCCTTGCAATTATTTCCATAAAATCAACTTCTCTGTAAAGCTCTGTGCAGGCAGTTCTGTTTTGCTGCAAGTCCGTTAAAGTGGTCACTGATGGATGTGTGAGGTCAGCCTATGAAAAGGACAGCTTCATGCCATCTAAGGGATGGTGACCATTATGGGCAGAAGAAAATAAAAGTCTGGCTGCTTTGGATCAGTCAGTCCCCCAAGCCTGGCTGCCCACTGGAATCGTTCTGGGAACTCTCAAACAAAAGCAGAAATCCCTGGGGCTCCACCCCAACTGTGAAGATTACAGATTTAGTGGGTCGGAAACAGGGGATGGGAGCATATACTATTGTGGAGGTTCTACCGCACAAGCCTGGTTTGGGAGCCACCGATTTTGGGTATTTGGCTTCTCTAATAAATTTCAGCTTAATTTGCCACCTTCTCATATCTCTTTTCTTTCAATCCTGGAAGCAGACTTCCAGAATGTACTTGCAAATGTCTAACACATAAACAACACCTTCCATACTACGTGGGAAAACACACAGACCTGAACACAATGTATGCAGAGTTGCCTTCCTGCCCGAAGGAACCCCAGGCCAGCCACGGGCCGGCTCCCACGGTGCTTCCCCCACAGAAGCCCCACGCACACCTGCTGCCAAACAGCTCCTCTTGGTCGGCCGTCACCCTCCGTGCATCCTGCACAGGCCTACATTAATGCTCCCAGAGCATAAACGGCGTCAACGGCGCCGCACCGCACGCCCACCTGGACCTGCTCCCTGGGCTGGCCCTCGAAGTTTCCACCATCCAGGCTGACTCACTTCCCAGGCCTCTCTCCCGGCTGGCACAGGCCGCGCTGCCCACGTGAGGACTACACCTCGCACTGCACCTCCGTCTCCACGGGCCCTTCTGATGCAGCAGCTGCTCTCTCCCTCCTCTTCTCAAGAGCCCCCACCGCCCCCACCGCCCCCACCCACATCCTACCGCCACCATGTGCGACCTGTCCCATAGCTTCAGGCATCCCTGCCCAGGTACCATCAGTGTCTTGGTGTATTTCTGTGAACGAGCCCACTGTTTCTCATTTTACTTAAATTTACTTTAAACGTTAACACTGGGCGCCTGGGTGGCTCAGTCGTTAAGCGTCTGCCTTCGGCTCAGGTCATGATCCCAGGGTCCTGGGATCGAGCCCCACATCGGGC